CACGTTCAGCCACTTCAGATTTCTGAATCCATAAACCTCTGCAAGTGGTTCTATATTCTGATTGCCTTTTATGTATGAGTTGACAAGTCTCCCAACATAAACACTACCACGTGAGCACAAAACCTTATAGCAACCAGATCTGCAGAGGGTGTCTGAAGATTCTGTAAAAAAGGCAATATTGAGGAAAGAGTTATTGCTTCTTTATACATTGTCTTGAAGCCCAATTTCCTCAGTAATTCGCCTATCTTTCTTGAAAGCTTGCAGTATGGTAGTATTAGGATCTTGGACAAAGGGATATCTAATTCATTGTTTTGTCTCAAATAATGGTTTCTTTTCACCTTATTTTGTTAGTATTTTGAAGTTGTTTAGAATTTATCCCAATGGATAATTGTTCTCAACTAAGATTTTTTCAGCCTTTCTAACTCCTGTGCTTGATGATTTACGTGCGCTAGGTGTTATCTCCTTAGTACAATTGGTTTCATTTCTCCTTCCTTAATATTATATGTATGATTCGAGAAGAAATTAAAAGGAAACCTACATTTGTGGGTTCCCTTGGTCGTCATACGTACTTCTGAGATATTAGGAAGAGGGAACAAACTGAGTGGAGATGTATGCAGGAAAACCACAAATGGGAGTTTCCTTCTTGATTAAATAAGGCTAATTTCAGACTTGGGTCATCAAAGTTTAATGTAATATGCGAAGAAAAGTTGGGTTTCGACGAATCACTATTTCATAATTGTTGTGCTCACTTCCATTTCGAGTGAAAGTGTTTGGTGAAGAGATTCGGAGGTCTATTCCACCAGAAGACGATGGCGGATTTCTCCTGACGAGCTGTCGATTGGCTTTCCTGTAATATTTATGCTGACGCTGTTTCCGAGGTAATCTCTTTCGATTTCGGTGAAAACGTGCTAAGCTTTGTACCTCATCAATGAGGTCAGATATAAAGTATATATGCAACTTTTTATGGATGAGCCAGTGAGTTTTCTCGACTCGTTAACTTGAATTTGATTGTGACGATGATACTCTGCTCTGATGATGCTCGTCATACGACGGAAGAAAGCTTAGCACATTTGCACCGGAATCGAAGGAGATTGCCTCGGAAACAGCGTTAGCATGAATGTTCCAGTAAGGCCAATCAACAGCTGGTCAAGAGGAATCCGCCAACGTCTTCTGCTGGAATCGACCTTCGAATCTCTTCACCAAACACTTTAACTCAAAATAGAAGTAAGCACATCAAAGTTTAATGACCCAAGAAAAAACCCTTACCGAAATTGTGTTAGTTCGTTTGGAAATCTGGTTAAGATAATGAGATTTAGGCGTGTAAGTCAGGTTAGGAAATCATTTCATAACCTCTTATTCTACGAGAATTATGAATTAATGACCTAAGTAAGGGTAATACTGGGATTGCGTAATCTCATATGTCCGATTTGGTTGACAAGTTTAATCTACATTTTGAAGGAGTGTGAGGGAGGTTAGAACCTTTCCTGGGCTGACAGGATAAATCGCCTTCTTTTGGATCTCGGCTCAACACCCTCTTCTTATTAAACTGTCTACTACCGTTACTCACATTCTGCGTATTTTCCAATCTATTAATTTTATTAGCCTCTCTTATCGTCCAGACAGTCTTCTTGTCTTAGTGTTAACTTGAGACTTTTACAAGAAAGAGTACCAGCTCTTAAGATTTCCATCATATGATGGGCGAAAGCCCAGTCTATTTTCACCCGTAACGAGAGAGGATGTCTTATGGACTGCGTTAAACTTAACGTCATATTAACACTAGACGGCTGCAGTACTACAGGAATCAGATCTCGTTTTCTGGTGAGATGGCCCTTCAAATCTCTTTATTATGCACTTCGATATAAAATGAAAGTATTCTCATTAATGTCATTTTGAGAGATTCATTAAACCCATTTACCTTCCGTATGCTTTTAGAGCTCAGGGTTTTGATTAATCTTGAATAAGGGTAATTTTTACTCTTCTCCGCCCTTAATTCTAAATCGAATATAACCCTTACTTCCCGCTTCTTAATGACAGAACGGCATAGTCCTTGATACAGAGCTGATGGATGCCGGGTTTCAACTATCGCTGAGAGCCTTTGAGGTGGTTTACGAGATGATTTCAGCCAAAATAATATCATCTTCACCCTCCACTAGCATAAATATAACTGATGAAGACACATCTCTCGGAGAATTTGAGGCAGAGATGTCGGCCATCCTCACTCTTGTTGGTAAAGACCACCTTTCGAGTAATGAGGTATATGGCCTATCATACTACCTTCATGAACTTCTAGAAACAACTCTAGAAATTGGTTTAAGAAGCCTTCTGAGAGACAAACCTACGAAGTCATTTCCCCTACCAGGCTCTGCTGACGGAAATTCAGTGAACGAATTAATTACCATATTGGACGGTCTCAAACTGGCGTCGAGTCGTAAAAAAAATTACGCCAAGTCAAAATTAAACACAAATGGGCTAGTACCACAGAAACAGGAGCGTATTCGGCCACAAATCTGTGAGTTTGAGCCCCCTCGAAGGTACAAGAGAGGAGGTTTTAGAGGCATTCAGAGTCGAAAATTTACAACACGAAGAAGCAGAAGTCATTGCTCAAATAGCAGTTCATCTGAAAGTGATTCAATATGAAAAGACTTTTAATTTTAATTTTCTGACAGGATTAACTATTCTTAATATAATTAAATTGTTAATTTGGCTTCAAAAATTAGAACAACTATTAAATTATTTTGGTTGTTGACTGTACATGTATGCTAGTTAACATGGAGATAACTCAAGTTTTTAAAACCAAATTTAGCCAATGGCAATAAGAGAACAGCACCATTCGCGAATAAATGTCTTGTTCTCGAACATAGCCACACTCTGTTGATTTAAAAGTAGCTTCCGAACTTACTTATTCCAGTTTAAAAATCGATTTTCACTACTTACTTTACAAAATCGACATATATTGAATGCATAACTCTGGTTTATTCATCAATCCAGCCATTTATAGTGTTGGTTTGGCCTCATTATCACAACTTCGTCATGGCAACAGGTTATTCTATGCCCCCACCTCCTCCCCTTCCTTCCTACATTCTTTGGGGCCCTGTGCCTGGATTATTTGGGAAATATATAGATTCAATTGTTTACTTTTAAGGCAATTTCAACGCAACTCCTGCTCTCTCCTGTCATCAACCCCACCTAACACTCAGTTTCTACTCATTTTTGAGACTGTACATTGTCTGCTAAAAAAACTTGTCGAGCATGTAATGAACCACCTTTAATCGTACTCATACACTTGCGCGCTTAACTTGTGCTAGGGGCCAACAAACATTGTGCCCCCAACCTCAAATTAACCTAGTATTAGACGCCTATGATCTTATGAATCTCTTGCTTGACCAATAGCAATTTTTAGTGCTCATATCCCCAATGTGTTATCATTTGTGAAGATAATAACTTAAATACCTACATTACATTCAGACTCAGCGAGTGATATAAAAGCTGTATTCATTCGATTCCTTGCCACGAGTCTCGCTACGAGGTTTCATGTTTGCGCTTAGCCGTCGTGATTAGGTTTCGAAATAAATATATTGAATAAGAGATGTATTTACCCTAGGTCGCATAAAGTGATAAGGAACTGATTGCTGAATTTTTCTTCAATTACATGAGTATACCCAATGTTTCCATTACATTTAATACGAGTATAACTTTTTGGATACAAAGATAAATGCAATTCAATGAAATACAAAGCCTACACACATGATTATGGGGAAAATTTAGTTGTCAGCTATTCACCCTCTTATACGAACTAGGGCCCTTATCCTTGTGCCTTTACTTTGGTAAGAGTACATTACAATCATTGCTGGGACTTTCATTTCGTATGAAAGTGCATGAAGAGGTTCGAAGGTCGATCTCGCCACAAGATAACGGTTGGATCCCGTTGTACTGTAGCCGTTTGACTTTTATATGATGTTGGGATATACGCAGTCCACAAGACCTCTCTATTTTCCAGTGAAAATGGACCGAGCTTTCATCCATTATATGATGGACATCCTCAGAGCTGGGACTCAAGTTATTACTAAATGTTAACTTGAAAATTCTATAAGAATGAGTCCTAGCTCTGATGATGTTCATCATATGATGGACGAAAGCTCAGCCCGCTTTGATCTGAAAAGAGGGTTTTGTGGACTGTGTCAATCTCAGCGTCGTATAGAAGCCAATCGACCGCAGTACAACTGGATTCATTGGTCCTCTTCTGGTGAGATCGACCCACAAATATCTTCTTCATGCACCTTCATAGGAAATGAAAGTCCCAGCAATAATTTTATCTTAGTAGATTCATCAAACCCAGTTACTATTCATGTGTACCTTAGGATCCTCGAGAAGTGCAAGAAGAGGCAACCCAGAATTCCTTCAGGCTAAATGATTGTAAGTGCGTCCGATTTCGTACTCGTAACTTGGAAGACATTGTTGAGCATAACTAGGTCTGCATCCCTTGTGATACCATTCATGGTCGGACCTTTGGCTTGGAACATCATCAAAGGCTTAACCTACGCAATCTTTGGCACTCACGGGTCATCAGTGAAGGACAAAGGCCGATTTTACATTTAACCGTTGTGGATTCTCTTCCCCTCGTCCTAGCCTCTAGGGCTGCATCTCTGTCCATCAACCCCATTCACTTTTTCACACCATTGTTGTTTTGCTCCAATGTTTCTTAAGCGTCGCTTCACGAGCAGTTGAGTGAATTCGGCTTTACCACCAGTCTCAGATGCGGCTCACATGACCTCAGGAGCAAAAGAGCTCTGGGGGTTTGGGCCTGACTCCATTTGGGAGTACTTCAATTTCTTCTAAATCAAAGTAATGTAAAGCAAACTGTGGTCTTATGTTATCGGCTCCATTTAATAGTGAGATTCTAATCAGTATGGCATGTGTAGATCAGCCAGCTAGCCTTCTCCACATTAGGATCGTTAGTGAGCTTTGATGTACATTCTGTGTTTGCGAACACGTGAGGGGCACTCACGGTATTGCTGGAGACCTCCGAGAGAGGGCAATAAAATCCTGGATGGAGCGAATCCGAAAACCTCCTAACCTAATTGATTAAACTAGCATTAAAAACGTTCAATTGCATCAACTATGAATAGACACTTGTTCCGCTTGAGCACACCATTTGTGGTTCTAAGTCGCAAAGAAAATAAACTATTACAGAATAGTACAAATAACTCAGTATATGTGGTATCATACCAAGAAATAACTAATATGGATTGAAGATTAGATTCTATAATCGCGATAAGTGAGAAATAAATAGAAAGATGGCCTTTGGAGCTAAATTTGATTACGTAGCAAGTAGAATAGATCCTGAACATAGATTCACCCATGTGCCTGCAGAAATTTTCGCTAACACCAGCACACTCCTATTATTACCGTTGGAACGATAAGAAAAACAGATCAAATAACAAAAAAATCGGTGTCCTTGATGAGTGGCCATACCTTTGTGCAACGATCCAACAAGCCATCAATATACAGATATAATCCGAGCTACAAAACAAGCTGAGTGTTTTACTTTAACTAATTTATATTATTTATGATTTTTTTCAAAATATAATAATGGCTTGTAATGTGTATTAGCAGTGCT